ATTTATATCTACATAGAGTTGAATGTGGGAAAAATTAAGAAAAACAGTAACATTGGAGGTATCCTTCAGGTCTCACAGCCATAAACAATCTAAGGGGAAGTGGAGGAAGCATAGGGGGAAGCTGGCTTCACTGCTTTGTGGCTCACACAGCCTTGATAAATAGTAGTGCCTTTCAGAGAGGAGAATGGGAGATAAAACGTTCATTGTATTTAGATTGACTGATAGTTCAGCATTTTTTTTTTTCTTTTTAAAAATATGTCTTTTAAATGAAACATATGAATAAAGGGTAAGGTCAGGAATTTTTGCATTTTCTATTCCTGATTTGTCCTTCTTTACAGAGAGTGAGTCTTTGTTTTTTTCTACCCCAAATGTCCCCATTGGTAAAATGAGAATTGTGGGGAACGGGGAAAGGAGGGAAGACACTAATCTCATAGGAATGCTGGGAAAGTATCTTAATTGGGATGTCTATAAATACTTTTTTTGTTGTTTTTGAGTGCTACACACTGCCAGTGCTAAGAATTTTATTGATAGTAACTTTGAACATTCCAGGTTTTCAATATCCACATTTTTAGATGCCATTTGCAAATTCATGAGATTTAAAGTCTGCGAATGGCCTTTAATTAGAGGAATGAGGTGCTCATTGTCTAAATGTTATTTGGTCTTAGTCTGTGATTTTGGTCGTTGAAAACCTTGCCTGCAGATGAAGGTTAGGAGAGCTGATGAAGTCATATCTGTGTCACTCCCCTCCCTGATATTTCTTATGGCAGACATGAAAAGTAAGATGCCTCCAAAGCTATACTACTCTACTCTCTCTTCTCAAGCTTTACGCCAGGGAAAAACTGACAGAGTAGAACACAAACAACACATTTCCTCACTGCCAGGGCAGAAGTGAGAGTAAGCTATCTTCTGATACCACAATGCCTTTCTTCAGAGTCTCAAAGCCATCTATTATAAGAGGCAAGTTAAGTGCATGAATTCAATGCAAAGTGGATTGAACTGTTGATGTTTGGAGGGAAAACCTTGGATCTTTCTTTTCCATACTTAGACCTTTCAGGACTAGCATAGCTGCTTTCCCAGCACCTCAGTGGTTTAATGTCCATGAGTTAGTCATTACTTTTTTCTTGCCTATATGAAGAGCATGGAAATTTAAGTTTTTGAGATGATGAGGGAACAAATGTAAATGAAATTAGTGATTATTTCTGTGTATTAACTACAACTTTGTCCCATGCTAGGAGGAAATATTTCTGTAATAGGACAAAAGTGCAAACTCACAACTCCCTAATTCAGGGTGACCAGTGAATTATCCTGGACCAGTGATGAGGATTGTGGACGTCATTCCTTTCTCTCCTGGAGTCTCTATGGAGTCTGGGTTAGGCAAACACAGTATGTACGCTTTCAGTGGATTTCTTTCTAAAGTTGCACTAGAAATTTTCTTAATGATGTGAACTTTTTGCATCCTTTGGAAAAGAATGATCCAACCCTGGGGGAGCGAAGTAAGATGGTGTCCACACATGCTTCAGGAAAGCAAAAGGGAAGTTACTGGGCTAGTTCCTAAAAACTCTAAGACTCTTGGTTCTTTCACTAACTCTAGAGGGCTAAAGGGGGCAGAAATCTGTGCAGAGCACTAGACATTTCTAATAAGTATTGTTTTTCATGTGAGAAATTTACAGAAATAGTAGGACACAGAAATACCATATGACCACATTTCTAGGAAAGGCATTGCTTCCTCGTTTCTCATATGAAGTTAGAGGAAAGACTAAGGCAGTCATTATCTAAGACAACTTTTCATCTTCAAGGGTTATTTACAGAAAACCTGAAATCCATGCTCATGGGCTCTTGTGTTTTCCCGTCAGCCTGCTTGCTGGGAGATTCTAAAATATCATCAGACTGTCTTTATTCTAAGATCAAGTTTGTCCTTTTGGTTTAGTTGTAGAACTGGTATTTGGGATAGAAATAACTGAGGAAAGGGAGTATGGTTGAAACAGAAAATAACAACTCTTGGAATCCCAACTCCTGAGGCTTTAATGTAACCAGGCTAATTTGCTAGCCAGGGAATATCTACTATAGGAATTCCATCAATGCCTGACTTCTATCAAGAAATGAATCCATTCTGGACTATTTTAGGGAATGTTACCATGACCTCAGAGACTGTGGTTATGAATTTGAAGCTGACAAATACAAACATATTCTCTTACTAACTGAAGCCATATCTGTCATCTCTGTGTTTGCTTTTTTGACCCTGGTGCTTTTACTTCTGTTTCTGCCAAACATCAGTCTACTCTATGGGGAGGGTGAGTCAAAGTAATAGGACAATGTGAAGACTGTGAATAAATGAAACATATTCTTCAGAATGAGATCCTATTCAGAGAACAGTAGTGATCAAAGTTCAAACTGTTGGAAACTATGGATATGTGTACATCTATACATGTATATAGTATATATTATGTATGTATATGTTATTGCTCATATGCAGAAATCTATCCATTTGCAGACAGCCAAGATGGGTCCGTTTTTCAACTGGAAAACCATTTAGAGTCATTTAAAACCTTTGGGGTTGATTTGAGTTGAGACAAACTGTAGTTCTTTAGGATGTAATTTGCTGTCATTTGAAATCCACAAAGCCAGACTAACAAAGCCACAGACAATACAGTGGGCTGTCAGTTAGTCCATTCTATTTACCTGGAGTCAGAAATATCTTTATATTTGAGTTATTAATAGTTGGTTTGCAAACTGAATCGGCACCTGTTGGTTTTGAGTGACCCCACCCCACCGCCACCCAAGTCTTATAAGAATTTGGGTAGGCTTCTCTGGCCATACAGATAAAGGGCCTTATCCATAAGTGGACAGGTTTCCCCATAGGGACCATTACACATATACATATAAACACATGCATCCATTAGGCTTGTAACAGTCAACTAAACACCACTCCACAGTATTGATAAATAGCTCTATATTTTCAAGGTGCAGAAGAATTCCACAGCCTTAATTATTTCAGTGTCTTGCTGGTCTGCCTTAAGTGTATTTTCTGGGTTGGTTTTTTTTTTTTTTTTTTTTTTTTGGTTGTTTTATAATTTTGAAATTTTTTTCTGCAGTTGTTCATTTTGTATACACACAATGTCGTTTTGTAAAGGTAGGTTGTAAATATTTGATTTGTAAGTCAAAACCACTCATGTGTAATGTTGTAAAGTGATGGCCTGCTGTCTTGTTATTACCACAGTAAATGTTATGAGTTATGGATGAAGCTTCAAAATGTACATCTCATGTGTTATCCATTCCTATAAATATACTACATAAAAGATACTATTTCTGGTTGTCATTTTTCCTTTTTCCTAATTAAAACCTTTGTTCAAAGAAGAGTAATTTTTTCTCTCTCCACCCCCAAATAGATGGGAGCTCAAAATATCATGTTACTAGAAAAGTTTTAATCCAGCATTTTAGAAGGTGATTTTGTACTCTGGAGAAGTGTTCAAAAACACTGAGGAAGTCTCAAGTGTGCTGCTGATTTCAGTGTGCTGCATTATTAGAAAGGTGGTGATAGGTCAAGTTGATGAACCATGTGGAAGACTCCAGGAATCTGCATTAGCCTATGCAAATATCATCAGGCTAGAGGATGACCTGGTGTGGTGCTGTGGGTTACTGCTCAGAACTTCAAAGCCGGTTTGAACTGCAACATCAACAGTTCAAGCTCACCAGTCGCGCTCATTGGGAAACCTATACAGTATCGCTGTGGGTTGGAACCAACTTGATGGCACTTAACAACAACAAGTACAAATGAGACTGATTCATAGTAGACTGTCAGTCAAAGTGCTGGAAGTGTTTTGATGAACCCACTTTGTCAATATGGACAACAATGTTTTAACATTTGCCTTCTGTTTCATCCAGATTTCACTGCATATTTCGTATTGTAATGAGAGGCCGCTGTCAAAAGCATGGGTTCTTCACATTGGCTAATCAGCAGTCTCTACAAAGATAGGAAACTGGTCTAGAAATAAAATGAGGATCAGTATGGTGAATTAGAATCATGTAAAGTCTTCTCTTCTACACAGAATGGAAAATTTCTCCAACTGAAGGGATTTATTTTGTGAAGATCAACTATGATTGGGTTTGGGACTTTGATAGGAAGATTATTCTCCTGATTATGTTGATATCAATAAATTCATCCATTCCCCTTGTCTTCTCTTTCCACATTTTCTGTATAACTATTATGTACCAAACACTTGAGGTATTCTAATGAAAATAAACACATGGGACTCCAGGCATAGTGCCAGCAAGTGTAACACATAATTACCTGGTAGGCAATTGAACAGTCCTATGTAGACACTCCTATTAAATTGCCATGTGCCAGATGCTATAAAATTAATAACAGAACATATATTCTACTTGGAAAAGTAACGGCCAAAAGCAAGTCAATAATTATATGCTAGGTAAAAGATTTCGTATGTTTTAACCCACCCAAAGGTCACAGCCTTGAAAACCCTATGGAGTCGCTCTAATCGAGTCAAGAAGCTAAACTATATCATGTGGTCAGAAATTATGTAAACTCTCTGGCGGGACTAGACTTCAGGATCAGTCTATCTAGAGCCTTAAATTCCAGAAATGTTATTGTTGTTAAGAGTCCTGGTGTGGTGCTGTAGGATGACCACTGGACTGCTAACAGTAATGTTGACGGTTCAAACCCACCAGCCGCTCCTCGGAAACCCTATACAGGAAAGCAACGAGACAGAACAAGTGCCCTCGATTTGGCTAACTCATAGCTACTCTGTATAGGGTTTCCAAGGAGAGGCTGGTGGGTTTGAACGCCGACCTTCCAATTAGCACTGATTGTAAAAGAGCGGAAGCACAAGACTCCGTAAATTTCATTCAACTCTACCCTTTCAGGCGCCCAGCTAAGTAAGCCCGCGAAACTACCAGAGACGGAGAGGAAGAGGCGGGGCCTCTGGGTGACGTCATCAGCGCGCCAACGGCTAGGCGCACGTCGGGGTTTAGAGCGAATTGGGACCACGCTGCCATGGCGGTCGCTGCTACTTCGTTACTACCGTTGGTAACAAGTCTGTACGACGTGCAGGCTTTCAAGTTTGGGAACTTCTTGCTGAAAAGTGGGCTCTCCTCACCAGTCTACATCGATTTGCGGGGCATCGTTTCTCGACCACGTCTTCTGAGTCAGGTGCCAGCTGGGGAATGGGACGGAGTGATCGAGGGTGCTGGGGGCCAGTGTCCCAGGAATTGGGCTGTGAGTGAATTCCAAAGAACCAGACCTGCTGAGCCCACTGTCCGCCTGGCTAGTAGGTTTCAGAAGCACCGAGACAAGAGGGGTATTTCGGTTTTGTGGACCTAGAGAGTACAATGTACGGGGCTGAGGGTGGTGACGGTGTGGAAAATTGGAATTAAAAGATAATGGAATTTTCCCGCACATGTTTTGAAGCCTCTCCGGATTGGCTTGAACACGTGCTTTACAAGAGAGTACGGAAACTCAGTTTCTAACTTTCATAGCCCAGCATGTTCATGATTTTGTTTTGTTTTGATGGAAATGATGACTAAGCACATCACGATAGCGTTTGGATTCCATTGTATTAATTTAAAGAATGATGTAACAGTTTATTGAACTGTGAGTTGGCTGTGCTGCTGGAAACTGTGCCACCGGTATTTTAGCTAACAGCGGTCACTCAGTAGACGATTACAATGGAGCTTCCAAGCAAAGATGAGGAAGAAAGGACTGGCGACCTGCTCTGGAAAACCTTTTGAATCACAACAAAACATTGACTTGCTTGCTTTTCCCATTTCATCAGGAGGGACCAGATGCTGGAAGGGGACATACTACGTTTGATGCAGTTGTTGTTGTTATGTGCCGTGGAGTCAGCTCCCACTCATAGCTACCCTGTACAGGGTTTCCGAGGCTGTAAATCTTTATGGGGGATCAGAAAGCCTCATCTTTCTCCTGCGGAACAGCTGGTAGTTTTGAACTGCTGACCTTGAGATTCGCAGCCTGATTCATGAGGGCTATAAAATGGTGCACAATAGGCTCTGTTCTTATTCTTTATTGAAGACAGTACTGTTGTTGTTGTTAAGTGCCGTCGAGTCGGGTCCGACCCAGAGCGACCCTGTACAGGGTTTCCGAGGGTGTAAATCTTTACGGGAGTAGAAAGCCTCATCTTTCTCCCGCGGAGCGGCTGGTAGTTTCGAACTGCTGACCTTAAGGTTCGCAGCCCGATTCGTAACCACTACGCTACCAGACAGTACTAGCTGACTATAAAAAAGGTTTGTTGTCGTTAAGTGCCCTTGAGTCGCTTCCAACCCATAGTGACCCTGTACAGGGTTTCTAAGGAGTGGCTGGTGAGCTTGACCCATGAACCTTAAAATTCAAATGGCTTTGCAGTCTGGTGCATTAGCCCACAGCGCCACACCAGGACTCCATAGATACTTAAAGTATAATGGATTACTATTACTATGGAAACTGGGAGTTTGGGGCATCATCATGATATTCCCCAACATATCTCATGTTGTCCTCAGAGCCAACCTTGAGTCTAGTCAAGTAGATTCTTTTTTTTTTTTTTTTTGTAGGTGTTTATTGTGAATTATGTTATAGTTTAAAAGGGAGAGCATTAGCTTTACATTCACCCTATCTTATTTCGTTTCATTGCAATGATTACACTTTCCTGCATGCATCAAGATAGGTTCATTCTTGTGTTTGTGTATTTTTAAACTGTGAGTAAAGGAAACGGTAATTTAAAAGACATTTCTATTTTTTCTATCAACTGTGAAAATATTCCCCGACTGGAATATTTTTGGTGTGGTGTTTCTCTTAATGATTTAAACACTATTTAAAACAGTTATAATAATAGATAATCTTACATGTTGATGTTGTTTACAGGTTGCAGAGATTTTATTCCAGACTGCCCAGAATGCAGAGATCACTTTTGACACTGTCTGTGGAGTGCCTTACACAGCTTTACCAATGGCCACAGTGATTTGTTCAACCAACCAAATCCCAATGCTTATTAGAAGGAAAGAAACTAAGGATTATGGTAAAATAAAAGTAGCATTAAGTTGATACTGTTAGACTTGTTACGGCTTCTTGGCATTGAGTTTTAACAGTTATCTGGAGTATTCATCATTAATTGTTATCTCTTATGGAATTTGTTCAAGTTCTTTTCTGTCTTTTAAAGTCCAAGGAGAGAATACTTTGTATTCTTAATATCAAGGATCTAAAAAACAAGCACCTAAGGTTGAATATAAACACCAAGAAACAAAGCTAACTGTACATACTAAATTAGTCTAAGAACACAGAAAGAATTCAAATAATCACTAAAAGATTATATCTATAGTAGCATATTTTCTAAGATAAAGAACTGTAAAGAAATCTTGGATTATTTATAGTAGTTTAGTACTAATAATAATCATATTGGTGTTATAATTATGAAACAGACTAGAAAGTTTCTTTCTGTTATCCAAGTCATTATAAGAGCCAACTCAGTGGCACCTAATAACAATTCTTAGGTGGTATCTTTAAAATCTCTTGTTCTTGTTGTTTGTTGTTATTGTTGTTGAGTACTGTCGAGTCGGTTCCGACTCCTAGTGACCCTGTGCAGGGTTTCCAAGGCTGTAAGTCTTTACAGGAACAGAAAGCCTCATCTTTCTCCTGTGGAACCACTGGTAGTATCAAACTGCTGACCCTGAGGTTGGCAGCCCGACTCTTAACCACTACGCTGCCAGAGCTCCTTGCTGTTGTTGTTTCTGACTCAGAGACCCTGTGTAGGGTTTCCAAGGAGCAGCTAGTATGTTTGAACTGCCAGTATTGTGGTCTGCAGTCCAGTGCTGATCCTAATATACCACACCAGGAGTCCATGCATGCTATAGAATAAAGTGAATATATAATTAAATTTTAGGTATGAAGATTTCCATTGCCAGAAAAAGAGAGACACAATTAAGATATAAATGAAGATAGTAAAATGTCTGGGATATTAAATGTTAATTGGAAATATAAAAACAAATTCATAATTTTATGAATTTTTTCTTAGTTCTGTTCCCTAAAAACACCAGAAGCAATCATATCCAAAATAACAACAAACATTGCTAATAAACCACCCCAAATAATAAAGCTTTCATTGTTGTTGTGAAGTGCCGTCGAGTTGGTGCCGACCCATAGCGACCGTGTATAGGGTTTCCAAGGAGCAGGTGGTGAGCTTGAACTGCCGACCATACGGTTCAAATCGACTTTGCAGTCCAGCGCATTAACCCTTTCATTGGGCAACAAAATGAAGTGCTTTGAGAGGAATGAATCATTGCTGCTCCATTGCTCTCAAGGCGATTCAGATTCATAGCAACCCTTTAGGACAGAGTTCGAGCCCACCAGCCAGTCCGTGGGAGAAAGATGAAGCTTTTGCTCCCTGAAGATTTAAAGCCTCATAAACTCTATATTGTCGTTAAGTGCCAACGAGTTGGTTCCTACTCATAGCAAGTCTATGTAGGGTTTCTGAGGAGTGACTGGTGGGTTTGAACCACAGACCTTACAGTTCAAACTGACCTTTTGGTCCATCATATTATCCTGCAGTGCCACACCAGGACTCCCGAAAACCCTGTACAGGGTCACTCTGAGTCGGAACTGACTTGAAGACACTTAAAACCACAACCTAGGACAAAGTAGAACTGTCCCATAGGGTTTCCAAGGTTGTAAACCTTGACAGAAGCAGACTACTACATATTTCTGCATTGGAGCAGCTGGTGGACCCTATGGGGCAACTGTACTTTATTACTTGCTGTCACTTTGAGTTGAAATCAACTCAGTGGTACAAAAACCGATATAGATAGGTCAGGATGAATGGTGTGATCATAAGGATTTCGTGATTCTACTTTTCCATTTTTCCCCCCATGCATTATTCAATTAGGAAAAAGTTAATTGTCAAAAAAGAGCCCTGGTGGCTCTGTGAGTTAGATGTTGTGCTGCTAACCACAAGATCTGTGGTTCAAATCTCCCAGCCACTTTGAGGTTAAGGCTGCTCCTGTTAAGATTGGCAATTTAGGAAACCCTACACAGGGTCACTGAGTCAGAACTGACGAGACAGTACTTAACAACAAGAAGCTTTATAAAGTAGGTTAAGCACTGGACTGCTAGTCTCAAGGTGGCAGTTCAAACCCATTACCTGTTTCTCAGAAACCCTGTACAGGGTCGATATTCAGAAACAATGGCAATTGACAGCAAAAATAATAATAAATGTTGGTGGTGTACCGTGGAGCCGGTTACCACTCATAACAACCCTAAATAGGGTTTTTGAGGCTGTAAATCTTAACGGGAGCAGAATGCTTTGTCTTTCTATCCGTGGAGCAACTGGTGTATTTGAATTGCTGACCTTGTGGTTAGCAGCCCAGTGCATAACCCTCAGAGCCACCCTGAATAGAGTGTCCTAGGAGCTGCTGGTGGGTTTGAATTATAGACCTTACAGTTCGCATATCTGAATTAAAAAAAAACAAACCTAGAACATATTAATTGGAGCCAACTGAATTTTTTACCCCTTTTCCAGGTACTAAGCGCATGGTGGAAGGAGCTATTAATCCGGGAGAAACTTGTTTGATCATTGAAGATATTGTCACCAGTGGATCTAGTGTTTTGGAAACTGTTGAGGTGCTTCAGAAAGAGGGCTTGAAAGTCACAGATGCCATCGTGCTCCTGGACAGAGAGCAAGGTGCCAGGGAAATACTGGAGGCGCATGGGATTCGCCTCCACTCCGTGTGTACGTTGTCCAAGATGCTGGAGATTCTTGAGCAGCAGAAGAAAATTGATGCTGAGATGGTCGGCAGGGTGAAGAAATTCATACAGGAGAATGTGTTTGTGGCTTCTAATCTTAATAGTTCCCTTCCATCTGTAAAGAAAGCACCCAAAGAACTCAGCTTTGGAGCCCGAGCAGAGCTGCCTGGAATCCACACGACTGCATCGGGGCTTCTCCGGCTAATGGAAAAGAAGGAGACCAATCTCTGTCTGTCGGCTGATGTTTCAGAGGCCAGAGAGCTGTTGCAGCTAGCAGATGTTTTAGGACCCAGCATCTGTATGCTCAAGACTCACGTTGATATTTTGAATGATTTTACTCTGGATGTAGTAAAGGAGTTGACAACTCTGGCCAAACGTCATGAGTTCTTAATATTTGAAGACCGGAAATTCGCAGACATCGGGAACACAGTCAAAAATCAGTATGAAGGTAAGTGTGTTATTCATGAATCTGCAAGTATCAGAAACCTAGATGAAGGAAAAAAAAATGTATCAGTTCAACCATAGAACAGACTTTCAAGGATGGTTGGCTCCAGTTGCTGCCTTCTAGATCTGTTTTTTCTCCTCTCAGCTCTACTTTCTTCTCTGTTGACTTTTCACAGGTCAGCCATTCCCTAGACTACCTCAGCTAGTAGGGGCTATGTGCCCCACCCCTGGAAATCTGAGGTTATTAACTCTTAATAAAAGTTCTGGAACTGAATCTGGAGAGGTAGTTTCATTGAAGAAAATGGTAGCAGAAGGGGACATGGGCTCCAGGTAGGCCAAAATGAGTGTTGGCCCTGTGAGTTCTAAATATTTTAAGATACTGAAACTAGGAAAAATCAGTATAAAAAAATAAGAATCATATTCAGTGGGGGGGGGGGGATCTTTGAATCTTTTTCCCAAAAAAAGAAAATTTACTTTTTTCTCATGTCAAATAAGGTCTTATGGTAGACAATGTGTTGGTTGTGGGAAATGCTTAGTTCTGCTACTTATTCTATATAGTAATTTCTATCTCTGTTTTTGTACAGAAGTGATTTTATGTATATGATGTATATATGTAAATTCCAGTCTTCACAAATTTTGAAGCCTCCTCGTATATTTGTAGCTCCTAGTCCTCGTGTGGCACCGTGGGCTAATGCGTCAGACTGCAAAGTCAGTTTGAACTGCAAGGTTGGTGGTTCAAGCTCACTAGTTGCTCCTTGGAAACCCTCTGTAGGGTCTCTATGGGTTGGAACTGACTTGACGGCACTTAACAATAACAACAGCAGTATTTGGTGGCAGGACTAGAACAGTATGAATATATGGGAAGAACCAAATCACAAAGCCAGGCAGACCTTCACAGAAACTTTATGAATATAAGCTGCACAGACCACGCAGATGCAGTTTTTGTTTTGTAAGTAACTAGGAGTTTTAAAATGCATACCTCCTTCTGTTGGAATTTGAAGAGCTAAGGAGTTGAAGGAACAACTGTGTGAGTACCGAGAAATCCTTGCAGAATGAAAATTTGTCATCTTTAGAGGCGTTTCAGAGAGTTGATGTCTTTTACCTCCCAGAAAAAAAGCTCATTTTTACTGGAGTTCCTTTGTAATTGCATGAGCTTTATTGGAGGTCAAAGCTTCTGCCTGCAAGTAGAAACGGTTTTGTCAATATTGATCATAAGCCAGGTGCAAAACTTGAAAGTTTTTCTGATTGACTCTAAATCACCCACCAGGTAGACGGTAAATTAGTCACAGGTAGAAGCATAGGTCTGTCTGCTGATTATAGAAGTTCTTGAAATGTTGAACTAGTTCATCTTTGTGCACCTGGAAGATTATTTCATAGTGTAGGTAGGTAGTTGTGTAAAATGTCATATGTTTTTGTTTGAAAATTAGCAATTATCTTCTACCTCTTAGGTGGTGTCTTTAAAATCGCTTCCTGGGCAGATCTAGTAACTGCTCATGCGGTGCCAGGCTCTGGAGTGGTGAAAGGCCTGAGAGAAGTGGGCCTGCCTTTGCAGCGGGGGTGCCTGCTGATTGCAGAAATGAGCTCCGCTGGCTCCTTGGCCACTGGGAAGTACACGGAAGCAGTGGTGAGTGGCAGCTACTGGGTGGGAGAAGGCCAGAGCTGCTGTGCAAGGGAGGAAAATATCTTAATGTAGGGTTTGTAGAACTTCTGCACCACCAACCCCCCATCCATTGTTAATGGTGTGACTGTGTACCGTGTATTAATATAGTTGGCTGGATATTCCTCCCTCATACTTAATGACATTTGGTATCTTATCTTGTTGTTAAGTGCCATCGAGTTGATTTCAACCCTTAGTGACCCTGTCTAGGATTTCCAATGAGTGGCTGGTGAGTTTTAACCATCAACCTTGCGGTTCAAATGACTTTGCAGACTGACGCATTAGCCCACAGTGCCACACCAGCACTCCTGGCAACTTACAGGGGACATTTAAAACATTTGAATTGTACACCTAGAGAGAAACGCTGAAATCAGTTTATTTCATCAAAGAGAACATGTACCTACCTTCCTGACTCAAGGACAAGACATCACTTACTTGTAGGTGGTAGTACTTGGTGGCAAGAATGGAACAATAGGAATCTCTGGGAAAAGCCAAATCAGAAAGCAGTCAGATTTTCCAAAGTCCAGAGAAATAGCACGAATATGAAATGTGGTATAGAAATTTGAAGACAGTTGATAGCAAATGTTAGAGATGAGGGAGAGTGGTAGATGTAAGAGATATTTCTTTCACCTTTTTACCTTTGCATATGGAATACCCTGGGGAAGTGAAGCAGGGAGCCTTGAATGTATTTTCATATCATTATAATGTGTTTAAATTCTTTTTAGAAATAGGTGGGTGACCAAATGTTATCACAGATAGTGCAGCATCTAGATTGTAGTTGGCAGAGTAGTAGAGGATGTTTACTGAGTTGAGGGCATGGTTAACTGGCAGGTGGGATAGGAAAAGGTCATCTGCAGTAGGTCATCTTAGAAATAAATCTATAGCCTTTCTTCACCTCAGGGTCTTAATGTCGGTTTATTACTAAGATGGCCTATTTCAGACACAATGAGTACTGTGAAATGACAGCTTGTAATTAGTCGATAGAGTAGATTGTTTGCCTGTAGAATGATTTATTATTTTGTATGATTAACTGCTGTTCTATAATCTACCCTGTCGCACTCCATTTAGGTTAGAATGGCTGAAGAACATTCTGAATTTGTGATAGGTTTCATTTCCGGCACCCGAGTAAGCATGAAACCAGAATTTCTTCACTTGACTCCAGGAGTTCAATTAAAAGCAGGAGGTAAATCCATTCATTGGTTATAATTCTTCTGAAGTGCTTCTCACTCCAGTCAGTAAGGGCAGGATAAAATGTTAGCTGTCACACACAAAGGTGCTCCAGAGGTTTCTCTGTCTAGAACTGATGAATGAGCCCTTAGGCCTTGTGATACCAATGTAGATTTGCAAAACATCTTCAGTCTAATTATAGAACGAAATTTTAGAAAACTACTTGTGGTTGAAATAGGCAAAGAAAATTGATAGTTTAGTGTTTCTCCATTAGTATTCTGAATATGCTGCCAAAAGGTGTTTCGTACTCATGACTAAGTAAGCAAAATTGAATTTTGCTTTGTTACTGGACACTTCAGGGCCTTTAATGTGCGTTATAATGTCTGTTATGATTCTGTCATGTCCAATCTTCTTGAACACGTTAACACTTCCAAAAGTATGAGAAATATGGTGGCCATAGCTAAAAAGCGGTGCCATTTTTCTCGTTAATCATCTTCTGTACAATACAGAAGTGGTCAGGTTATAAAAATGCATGCACTTTAACATTTAACCATATTTTGGCATGAGTAAGTTTATCAGCTGTTGATGGGGTTTTTTCAGCCCCCACAGTTGTTTGACTAGATAGTATAGTTAGACTCTAGGCTTTTGTCTTAGCTCTATAGTTTTCTCATAGTAGAAATACTGCAAGTGGGTGGTGACTTTAAACATGGACTTTGTTTCTCACAGTTTAGGAGGCTGCAAGACTGAACTCAGGGCACCGGTTACGTTCTCTGTCAGCGCTGGGCAGTTGTCCTTGTCTCTTCTGCTTCTATTTCATGGTGTCTTGGAGATTCCTGTGTAGTATGTTATCTGGCTTCCCCCATCTCTGTTTTCTTAATTCTACTCATATCTTGTAAGAGATGACTCAAAACACCCTACATTAACGCTACCTCATAAATTTCACAAAGACAGTCCATCACCAAATGGGATTATAACCACAGGTAGAGAGGTTAGGATTTACAACACTTGTATCTGGGGACACAGTTCAATCCATAGCAGTTTTTGTTTGTTAGTTTGTTTTAAGTTTTTATTGTGAACTGAGATAGTTTACATGGAAGAACATCGACTTCACACGATCATTTCATTGTAATGATTACAGTCTCCTTGGTGCATCATCATTCAACAGGATTTATTTCCATTCCCTCTTGTTACTTTCTTTTTTCTTTGGGGTGGGGGAAGTGATGTACACAAAGACACTCAGGCATATATGATAATTTAAACAACCAAAAGCCACATTCTACAATCCTGCCTCCTGGCCACCAGCACTCAGTCCCTCTCTTTCCATGAGTCCAGAGTCTTCAGCTGCTTCTCTCTTTCCATGTCTCCATCTCTGCCTCCATCTCTGGTGTTGCTGCTTCTCTGGGTAGGGTCCCACATTACTCTGTGCTCTTCTCCCTTGATGGTCCTGGGGTCCTCTCTTTCTGTACTGTAAGATTAACTGCTCCCCCATTTTTGTTACAAAACTTCTACCTTTACAAGTGTGACCATCGCAATTAGTCATGGTAACAGTTATTCACTATTGAATCTTAAGAATCTTATCCCTATCCCTTTTTACCAGACCCATCTAGACAAGATGAAAACTATTCAGTGGGGACTTTGTCTTCCCCTGCACACTTTTAAAATAAACTCCATCTTGAAAGCTTGTAAGCCAGTCACTTTGTGCCTTTGTCACCCCCTCATTTTAGGTAGCCAAAGTTTAACTTGCCCATTCCTATCTATCCTGTACACAGAGAGGATAGGATTGATACTTGTTGTGAAGACTCCTTCTCTCTCAGCTGGTGTTTTGAGCTACTGCTTCCATAAGTATAGGTCAAGTTCAGCCATCAAATTATAGCAATTTACACTTATTTCATCAAAAAAATTTTTTTAATCTTTCTCTCGTTGAGTTCTGATTATCAAGCCAATAAGGCTAGCTCAAATGGGTACTGTCTGCAAGTTTGGGTATTGTTGTGCATCTCCCCTCACTTCATATCAGCTGGATGCTTCACTCTCAGCTCTAGCCTTCTGTGGCTATGTCCTTGTCCATGGGCTCAGGAGTCCCCAGGTCTCACCACACTTTGGACCAATCAGCCATTCCTCTTCTCTCTCTCATCTCCAGATCAATGGGAGTCTACGGACGTGGCTGAACTCAGCCTATTTCTTCGTTGCTGCCTTTAACCCTCTTCCACTCACGAGTAGACCAATGTGGTTACCAGCAAAGCATACATGCTTATTCATGTGTTCCCTTTGAGTTTCGGTCTTAGAAGGGGGTTTGTCCTAAAGGAACTTGATTGCTTGCCTTGATGACTTCCCGGGGAACAGCTTGCTTATTCTTGTAGTAGCTAGTCATACTGACATTTTTGTTTTGGGTTTTTCCTGATGATCTTTCTTTGAAGATGTATCTTCTGTCGCTATAGCTGTTCTAGGCTGGTCTGCCTGTCCTTTCTAGTGAGAATGTCCCACCTCATAAGGTTCTGGATGGGGTCAGTCTCTCCACATCCTCATCAACATTTATTGTCCTCTGCTTTTTTGAGCTTTGTTGTTATTGCTGGTGTAAGATGATATCTCATTGTTGTTTTGATTTGCATCTCGTTTGAACTGCAAGGTCAGTGGTTCAAGCTCACCAGCTGTTCCTTGGAAACCCTACACAGGGTCACTATGGGTTGGAACCAGCTCAACTTAACAACAACAATGGCTAATGAGCCAAACTACAAAGCCGTTTGAACTGCAAGGTCAGCAGTTCAAGCTCATCAGCTGCTCCTCGGAAACCCTATACAGGTTAGCTTTGGGTCGGAACCGACTGGACGACACTTAACAACAACAATGGCTAATGGTAGCGTAGTGGTTACGAATCGGGCTGCGAACCTTCAGGTCAGCAGTTCGAAACTACAAGCTGTTCCACGGGAGAAAGATGAGGCTTGTTGCTCCTGTAAAGATTTATAGCCTCGGAAACCCTGTACAGGGTCGCAATGAATTGGAACCGACTCCACGGCACATAACCACCACCAGTGACTAATCATGAAAATTTCTTCATGTGTTTTTTGGCTGCCCGCAACTCTTCCTTCGTGAAGTATCTGTTCATGTCCTGTACCCATTTTTAAATTGGGTTATTGTCTTTTTCTTGTTGGCGTGTTGTAGTTTCTTACAGATTTTAGAAATTATTCCCTTGTCTGATACGTCATTGCAAAAGATTTTTCCCATTCTGTGGGCTCCCTTTTAACTCTTTTGGTGAAATCCTTTGATAAGGATACATAAGTTTCTAATATTTAGAATGCCCTAGTCATCTATTTTGTCTTCCTTCATTTGTGTAACTTTCATAATGTTTGGTAGTCTGTGTGTGTCCTGTATTGTTGTTGTTAAGTGCCATCAGGTTGATTCCGATCCATAGCGACCCTGTGTAGGGTTTCCAAGGAGCCACGGGTGAGCTTGAACCACTGACCTTGTAGTTAGTTCAAATGACTTGAGTGCTGTATTGTTGCTGTTAAGTACTGTGGAGTCAGTTCTAACTCATAGCAACCCTACACAGGGTTTCCGAGGCTGCGAATCTTTACGGGAACAGAATGCCTCATCTTTCTCCTGCAGAATAGCTAATAGTTTTGAACTGCCAACCTTAAGGTTAGCAGCCCAGTTCGTATCCACTACACTACCAGAGCTCCTTTGTGTCCTGTATTTGTTGTTGTTGTTGTTGTTGTTATGTGCCATGGAGTCGGTTCTGACTCATAGCGACCATGTATAGGGTTTCCAAGGCTGTAAATATTTATGGGAGCAGAAACCCTCATCTTTCT